GAGTTTTTAAAAATGAATAATGCAAAATATGAATGCGTATAAAATTCAAAAACACAAATAGGAAGCATCCTAAAATAAAAAGACACTTTTGTTCTAAGGGTAATGTACGTTTCCAAAGATCATATCACATCAACATCGCACTGCAGAATTTTCAAAAATAAAATTCAAATATTACCAAACAAGTCATGATATTCTTCAAATTTGGATTGAGTGTGCGAAGAGAAAATGTAACAAGTTATAAACATCCTTGTCTCAAGTTGCTTAACCAGTTGGGATTAAGATTAAATTCAACTTGTTAAAACTTTTTAGGGTGGAAAGCGAGTGCTAAAACAAACGTGAAAAATCACATTATCAAAGTGGGCGATGATAAAACTTGGGACAGTTTTTCTTGATGATGGTGATCTCAAGGTCATTTTCATGATCATTGGACACATGAGGCTAATTTCTATTTATTTATTTATTCATTTTTGGAAAAAAGGTGATGGAAGGAAGGACGCATTGATGCTCATGTTATAATCTTGGTGGTTGGTGCATATGTAACAATCACGGGTATCTTGGCCGTATATTGATGTATCTTGCATAAAATAATGTTTTAAGGGATAGGATACTTGGATTTAGAAAGCTATTTCATTTTCACTCTATTTTGAGTCTCAATGTTATCAAGTTTTTTTTCCCCTGCTTTTTCTATGATATATACTTATATATTTATATATACGTACTTTTATATATACACACACATCCCAATGCTAAGGTTTTCTCTCTCTCCTATTTATTTTTTCCTAGGAGTTAAAAGAACAACGGGGCACTTGCTTCTTTTTTTATTTTTTTGGTATGTTAATATATTGATAGGTCAAATTTTTTATCCGTTAGATATGTATAAAAGCACATAAAAATTAAAAAGTACGTAGATTTAACGGTTAAAAAAACTTGATCTATCAGTACATTGTCATATCAAAAAATCTCTTTTTTAGGAGACGTTTGGTTCATAGATTAGAATCATGTGATTATAATTATTTTTTATTTACGTGTATTTTTTGTGAGAGAAAACACTATAATAAATTATGAATCATGATTCAAATCATGGTTTGAATCCTCCAACCAAACATTATAGAAAGGAGCACTTAAAGTGTTGCGTTGAGAATTATTATTATTTTTTCTCCGTAACTTTTATTAACTCTTTTTTGGTGAATCACTTTTTATTATCTCTCATCTGTTGAAAATTATTACACCATTCAATAATAATAATAATAATAATAATAATAATAATAATAATAAACAAATAAATAAACAAATAAATAAGAAGACTTAACTCTCCATCTCTCACAATGCACACCTTGTCAATGATTTTAAAAGAAAGAAGAAGATAATCACATTATTAACTACTGTTCTTAACATAATTTATCGTGTATTATTTGTGGACTTTTGTTGTAGAAGACCACACCGATAGGTCCGGGAGGTAAGGGCAGCGAATCATGGGCATAAAGGTCTTTTAGGTCTTGATACACTTTCTTTAGAAGTTGTTGTTTATTTGTTGGTCACTCAAGACTTTACTACTCAATTCTCCTTTACATAATTATTATGGCGATTTAAAATGCAAGATCTGAAATGCAATGAAAACTTGATTAAAGGGGTTGAGTGATGCACTTTCTTTAGAGGTTACTATTATATAACATCTATTAAGGTTTGAACCAAAAAATTTTGGTTTTAACCTTTTCTTCCGTTACTTTTGTGTCGTAAAATTTTTTTAACAAATGAATTTGATCCAAAAGCTTTGTTTCAAACTTATGTTATAAACTCTTGCTACAAGTAGAGAACAAAAAATTAGGAGTATTCACGGATTGGAATCCGCGGATTATACAAAACTATCGAATTGAAAAAATCTCAATCCATATCCGATTCAAAGCGTTTTCGGATTGGCGGATTGAATTCACGGATTTCACAAATTATGACCTTTAAAATTATAAATTAATAAATATCCATATAAAAATAAAACACAACATAAAATCTTCATCATTTATCACAATGCAAAGTCTCAAATTTTCAACATCCATAACTCAAATAAACATAACTATAACATAAACTTGTTCAATTAAGTCTAAATTTTTACAACCCAATTAATGATGACATTAAAAAAAAACCGAGTTTATGTTATAGTTATGTTATGATTGCATCCAAAAATAGCCATATGTATTACAGATTTTTAAAAACAAAAATTAAAAATAAACTTAAAAATTAAATATATATACATATAAATTATATATATATAATAGGTTTCAGATTTGGAGATTTCATAGATTTAAAAGTGCTGGATTCGTGTCCAATTTAAAATCTTTTTCAATCCAATCTAAAACTTCAGATTATATTAGATTTCACTGATTAATCAAATTGACGAATTCCATGAACACCCCTACAAAAAATAATTATATTTTAGTGGATTTGTTACTCAGTAAAAATAAAAAACACAATAAATTTTTGTTGTATGCTTTTACTACGTTTTTAAGACAATTACTATTAACAATTATCAAATGAAAGCCTTTGCTTTTGAGTTATCTTCAACTCGAATATTTTTTAGTTCTTTATTTTTAATTAGATCATAATTATATTAAATTTGCGTATTTTCCGAGCGAAGGACATTTCTCTCTTTCAGAAGCACCACATCTCTTCAAATATATTAAATTCTTAAATATAATTTCATTGAAATCCCCACAATAGAGATTCTTTCCTTCTTTTTTTTTATTTTTTATTTTCCTTATAATAAACATGGTGTCTTGCCCTACATATATATTTTTTATGAAATGTATCTTGCCCTACATTCCCATAAAAAAAGGGAAAAAAAATAACTCTTTGTCGCACTCAAACCTAAGTAAAATTTCTAAATAAAAAAAAATATAAATAAGATTTTTAAAACAAAAATTAAATGTACAAAAAAACAATTAGAGAGAGAATTTCCAAAAAGAATAAATAAAAAACAATGAAAAAGATCAATCTCCCCCACACAAACTCTTCTCACGACGAAGGAACATGACAGCCAACCACTACTTTCACTATCCTCCACTCTCCACTACTCCTCCCTTTCTCTCTCTTTAATTAATTTATAAAAAAAAAAAGAAAAAGGTTTTATATAATTGAGCAATCATTAATGAATTAATCTTTTATTTAAAAAAGGAGGAAAAAAAAAAGAAAAAGAAGAAGAAGAAGAACCTAATTTGCCTGTTTGGACCTTTGTTTCAACGTTATTTAAAACCACCGGAAAAACCGCAGGGGCTCTCACCAGAACTTTTGTGTTTGGCTGCCAAGAAAATTGTAGAAAACATTTTCTTTTCTCTCTTTGACTTTGCGTCTCAGTTAAGCTTTTCGTCTTCTTCTTCTTCTCTGACATTTTCTTTTTTTTTTTCCTCTCGAAATTTCTCTTTTTTCCTTGTTTCGTTTCATCTTTGGAAGCCTAATTTGGCTTTGAAAAGAAGAACGAACGTTAATCATGGGCTGTGCTGGATCGTCACAAGCCAAAGGAGATGGTGAGTGAGCTCGATTCTTTCTTTTGACTAATTTTTCTTAGGCTTTGGCTTTCTGTTTGGTTGCTGCGTTTTAGAGATGAAATGACGGAAATTATTTATATATGTATATATTTTTCTTTTAATATCTCTGTTTAGAGAAAATTGATTTCTACTGTGTTGCAGAAATTAGAACGGTAGTTTAGGTCGTTGAAATCAAATAGTAAATTCTTTGTACAGTGTGGTGTTTTGGTATTTTTCTCAGCGCCAAATGAGGAACTAGGTTTCTTTTTTTTTTCTTTGTAAATTGCAACTCTAATTCAGAGAAATTTTCTTAAATTCGTTAGATTCAGAAATTTTTCTTCTGCATATTTCTTTCTAGGAATTGGGATTTTGTGTGGATCTTGTTATTATAAATGAGATTTTGATGTTATATTTCAATTACAGTGAATTGAAAGTCTGAAAGAAATCGCATTAATTAATGGAGATGAAGTTGAAAATAGAATAAGCTTTGTCATAGTTTTTGGCTTAAGAGGATGCGCGTGTGTGTGTGTCTTTTTTTTTGTTTTTTTGTTTTTTTGTTTTTTTTTCCCGGAAGGAAGCTTGTGGGGTATTGAACTTCTGAGTTTTTGTTACAAAGCTGGACTAAGAATACGTATTCTAGTGTTTCTCTGACTTCAATAAACTGCTGAATTAATGCCCACGATAATTTTCTTGATCCTTATTTGAACATTTTAGTTAGTGTTGATGTTGATATTAATCTATGCCCAGGGCAGTGCGGCCAAGTTATTAAGGATTTTCAAAATCCATAGTGTTTTCTAGTTTTTGTTGGAACATAACATAAGAACCCTCTTGCTGGATTGATGTGTATAGGTCCAGATTCAAAAGCAGTTTCTCTTTATTTTTGTGCATGCAACTACCTGCACATTTGTCTCGTAAGCAGTCGCTTTCAGTTGCGTTGTGTATAATGAAATTCGAGCTTATACTGATTGAAGAGGAGTTAAATTGCACTTTTTACTTGTGTTTTTCATTTGAATTTGGTTCCTTTCCTTATTAGCCCAGTTCCTAATATTTTCTACTTTGTTATTGAATAAGGGTTCATAAGTATGACAAACAATTCTTAGTTTGACAATGATAAATTTGGAAAAAGAAGAAAGGAGAAGGAGGTTAGGACAAATAAGCAGGTCTATTTATTTATTTTGTGAGCTTGGGATTAGCAAAATAGATCTCGATTAATTCGCTGCCATTTTCAATATTCTCCAATAAGATAGTGTTGGTATTTTGAGTTTTATACTTTAAAGGATGCTTAATATGCTAACTAATTATTGGAACTATCTTCTGAAACAGGGACTGTAAAGAAGATTCGGAAGCCTAAACCTTGGAAGCATCCTCAGCCAATTACGAAGACTCAGCTCATGCAGTTGCGCGAAGAGTTTTGGGACACCGCTCCTCATTATGGTGGTACGAAAGGTAATTTTAATTCTGAATTTATTCTATTTAGTGATATCAATGGTAATTATTTAAACTATATGAACGTCACACCACGCTGGCTTTTTAGGAATAGGAATGTGCAGATCTTTTTTTAAATTTTTTTCTAATCCTCCCATGCTTTGAACAGTTGAGTTCAAGCATTCTCTTAAGACTTTTTCTGCGTCAGATATTTAACTTTTTGTTTGCGTGAATATTTTGGGAGAAATGAAGCATTAGATTAATTTTTGTTTAAGGGGGCATATTTTCATGTAAACAGTCTGGGGCTAAAATGAAACATCGGCTTACGTCTCTCTCTTTTTGTTTTCCTTTTTTCTTTTCTCTCGTACTTGGGGGCTTACATGTCTGTATAGTGTGATGTGTTGGACAAATTGCACATGAACTTACTAGTTACTTGTTTCATTTGATTGAGGTTTTGGGTTTCTCTTGGAGGTCCTGAAATGAATCTGCTTAACATTTGAGCAGTAATGCATTTCCTTACGCAGTATTGGCATATAGGGGTTGTTTGGTTTGCAGTAATCTTGAGGGTGGGAATGAGAATATACACGATTCCTATGTTTCGTGCAAGAATTCAAATTTTTGCATTCCTAGGAAAGTCAATCCCATGGGATTCACTTTGTCTCATTTTAAGGTAATCTGAATCCCACTCAACATAGTGATATTCATTTTCCTTGAAGTTTTCCCGGGAATCCTAGAAAGCTAGAGTGACCAATTTTTGGGTCCGTGTCAGTTAAAATATGTCAATACTGCTTAGAGAAGCATGCAAATAGATTAATCTTTTCGCTAATTCCCTGAAAAATGAATATCTCCATGTTGAATGGAATCAGATTATCCCAAAATGTGGTAAAGTGATCACATGGGATCGACTTTCTCGAGACTGCAAAAATTTTAGTTATTGTACGAAACATGGGAACCTTGGATATTCCAATTCCTACCCTCAAGATGACTGCATACCAAACGGCCCCTTGGTGATAACATAGGGGATCCACAAATGTAACCTTCTTAAATCTCTTGATTCTTTTTTTGTTGTCTCCAACTATAATTTGGTGGTATGACTTCTGTTGAAGCATAAGATGTACGTTAATGATCAATTTAGTTGTAAGTACATCATTTCTTTTAGTTCTTAAAGCTTTAAAATCCTAGCTGTGCTAATGTTGAACTTGGTATGTTTCATGTTTGAAAATTTGAATTAAATCCGTGCCTTGACAAGGTTTAAAAACTGAAAGTCTCATTTAATATATAGGTTAGATTTGTTTCCTTCCTCATAAAGCCAAAACTCTTATTTAATAATGTCATTGTGGACAAGGTGTAAAAACTCTCTAAATTGGTCATTCAAAAATTCCCAGCCATTTAAGAAACAAAACTTCTGTTTAATAGTGTCATTATGTAAATATTTGATTTGGAGATTTTTAAGAGAAGTGATACCATAAGGGTCAAAGTTTCAATTTCCTATTAAGTGTTGGATAATTGGGTTTTTAGCACAATTGCCCCCTAAACTTGTCGTGATTTAGCAAATTGCCCCTCAAACTTTTAATTTTGGCAAGTTGCCCCCTCAACTTGTAAAGTTGTTGCAATATGCCCCATTTTAACAATGATTGTGTTAAATGAGTGTCAAAAAAGCACGTTCAACCAAAACTTTCATCATTCCAATTCAAATATAACACAAATCTCTCAATATCTAAACTTTTAATCCCTTAAATCTAATAAAAAAATTTGAGCAAATTTAGTTAAATGAGTCACATTGAAACAAATTTACAAGTTCGGGAGGCAACTTGCCAAAATTAAAAGTTTAGGGGGCAATTTGCTAAACCACGACAAGTTCGGGGGGCAATTGTGCCAAAAACCCTAGATAATTCAATGCATTTTATTATACAATATTCATATATATATATATATATATATATTTCAATTTTGAAACCGGAAAGAAAGACCTCTCCTTCAGGATCGGTCCTGCCCCTAAGATGCAGTAGTTAATTAGTGGACATTCAAAGAAGCTGTGCACCTTCACTGAATGCTAATGAAAGCAAGCCCTTTCATCCTAACCTTATCTACTGAAAGGGAGCCAGACATACCAATCACTATGTTTGGTATACCCATCAAAATGTTTCAAATTGGAGTCCTAAGTATAAGCAAGAGTAGATGTACTGTCAAGAGGAGTAGAAAATGTAGTAATTGAGGTTTTCAAAGAGGGGGAATAGAAAATGTAGAAAAGTTAAAAAAGGGAAAGTTAGATTTATTGAGGACTCAAGATATCTCTCCAAAGCTATATATATAGTCTTAGCTTTTTCTAGTCATGCAAAATGAAAAAGAATGCCATCAGGAAGTTGCTTAAAAGGGTGAGATCACAAATTTGAGTTAGGGCCTAGGGGGAAGTTTACTAAGACATTTGCGTTTAGATCAATGCAAAGTGAGAAGCTAGTTTGTTCAAGTAGTTTGCATATGGAGAAGGCAGTAAAACATGGGATTGATATAGCGAGTACTATTAAGATGCAGTAGAAAGAGAATGATTAAGTTTACATTTTGAGGTTTTGGGTCTTGAGATCTTGGGGCTATTTGCATGTTTTGCCATCTACTCGAGCCATAACTGTGTTCTACTGTTTAAAAAATACTTAGAGAAAGTGATAACTAATGGGCAATTTTTCCGGGAAGCTAAATGATGTATTCGATGCACGTCCATGGGATCCCATGGGAAGAACTTTTTATTTTTATCACCTATCCGTGTTTCTAGTTGATTCTAGCTATAGATATAGCGCGTGTAGTGTGAAAGAATGTTTCAACACAAACTGGACACAGACACAATGACACTCTAAATTTGAGTATGAAAATCATTATCTAAGATAAAATTACGAGTGGTTCCTTGTTGTTACATCCAAATGACTAGTAAATGGAAGCAATGGCATTTAAAAGGACTATGGGCAATTAGTGCCAATCATTGTTTGCGAGAAACTTAGAAGCAGGTCCTTTTCTTCCTGCACCAATGATAATGAGGAGAAATCAACAGACAGGAATCTTAAGAATGGGAGTTAGATTTATTAGAATTAAAGCTTTAGAGCATGCTTTGTTATGTGTTGTTGAGTATTTAAGTAACTTGTTGATGGATGCTTCCTATCGCACTCAGAAATTCCTGTCAAGATTGATGAGAGCCAACATTTGGAGGTTAATGGAAAGCATATTCGAGTTCGAACAACCGGAGAACCTTAGATCAAACAAGTTTGGTGATCATCACATTGCACGCTACAATGGCTAATCTAATCAGTTGTATGGTGTTTTTATAATTTGATCATGCTACAAAGTCATGACAGTTGAAGAATGTTGATTAGAATTTAAGGAGACTCCGTGCATGATTAGTTAGAAATTCCAATGCCAACTGTCCAAGTTGGGTCTTTATGGAGGTAACGATGTTCTTCATGAAAACACGACCATATACCTTAGTTTTAATTGGGATGTACGATCGCCACGCCTGGTAATTGAAGGCTCATTTGTGCAAATTTGTTCACATGCCACTCATTAGTACGGCTTTATGTCAAGTGTGATTGGGAATAACTGACTGTTGCTACAAGATGGAAAATTATCATGTTACTCCAAATCTGAAACTTAAAGTTACTTGTATGATTAGAGGAAGATTAACAAAATACCAATTAGGACTTGGCCTGGTGTTCTATTTATGCTAGGTTGTTTATATTGATAAGATCCTTCAAAAGTTTGATGAATCCCTTTTTTTTTTAGCCCTAAAAATCATTTGGAGTTGTGTTTGTTGAAGTTCTACATTCCCAGTTTGAAAAAGAGAACAAAAGAACTTCTTTCCCCCCTAAACGAATAAGCAAATTAAGGAGATGATTTTCTTCAGATTGGGTTCCATGACTCGGTTCGAGTGACTTGATTTGGTTACAAGTGTTTTCTCTTCTGTTTAAACAAGAGTGTTGTTCTTGGTTAGATGTCTTTTACGATCTTCATACATGTTATAATTTGGAATGTGGACTTGAATTTTATCATCCACAGAGATTTGGGATGCACTACGAGCTGCTGCTGAAGCTGATCTATCCCTTGCTCAAGCAATTGTGGACAGCGCTGGGGTCATTGTTCAAAGTGCTGACTTGACAATTTGTTATGACGAAAGAGGTACTAAATCCCTTCTGCTTTTTTCCATCAAAGAAAATTCCTTTCTGCTTTTCTATTTCCAATGCATGTGGCCTGCGCGCATGTGCACACACAAAAGCTCCTTAACACCATGAATGACAATGACACTATGACTGCTAACTTTAGTAGTACCTGAGAACTTAAAGAGATCATAACCTTATGCAAATGCAGGGTTTGCTGATTCTTAACCTTTTTTTTATAGAAAGGTTTTTCTTTTTTTATCTTTTATACTTTGTTTTGCGAAGGCCTTGTATAGTCACTGAAAAAAGTATTTTTGCAGGCGCAAAATATGAGCTACCGAAGTATGTTTTGAGTGAGCCAACCAACCTAATTCAGGACAGTTAAATATGGAGAGAGCATACTAAAATTTGTGCACAAGATTGACTGTAAATCATGTATATTATTCTCTCATTCTCTTTCATATCTTTAATAGAGCTGGTCGTATTTTATGCCTTCTTTTGCATCCAAGTGTACTCAACTTGCTTAAATTTAATTGTACTCAACTAGCTTTTTTGTTTTGCAGCCGTTTGGATTTGTCTCTGAAATTTCTTCTCTTTTTAGTGAAAACCATTTATTGATTACAAAGATGAATTTTTATCCATACAATTTTACAACTAAAAGCCTGGTTGTACATTATTGTATGATATTTTTGTCAATATGTTGAGCAATCAGCATTTTCTTGATCATAAGCTTGAGCGATGCTACTTTTGTGTGCATACTTGGATACTTACGAGTTAAAAAGTTTTTCTACGACTCACAATTGACGTTACATAGAGTTTAGGTAAAAAAAAGTTGCAATCCTTGTGTTTGGAATCGGAACTGTCTTTTGTTTTGGTCGTTGAAAGGTGGGACCTTCTATTGATAGTGCAATCTAGTCAAAATCATATCAAGATAAAAAAAGTATGTAAAACATTTAGTTTTTGATATAAATTTGATGGCGGAAAAAACTTACCTTTATTTTTTCAAGTCTTATCCTATAAATCCCCTTTTCTTGTTACCATGCTCGACAGGAAAACAGGTAGAACATAATTTCCAGTCAAAAATTAAACGACCAAGGAAATTTTTTACTTTGTTGCCACTTGAAACAAGAAAAAGTTATTTCTTTCTTAGGGAACTAAAGAAAAAATAAACTCCATCAAGATTGTGCACTGTGAACCATCAAATATTCATCATATTTAGTAAATTTGTATGTTGTTCGATTTTGATATATGATGCAATATTTGTAGAGAAATTTTACACAATTAAGTACCCGAAAAAGAAAAGGAAAGACGACTTGTTGATGAACTTGTTCACATTGCCAATGTTATGATTGGTGTTGAAACGTCTTATGTGCTTAGTATGAAATAAGGGGGGGAAAAAAAATTTATCACCATTGCTCTACTGTTCTTTAAAAATTTCATTTTATCAAGCACGACAAAGGTAGCTTCTTTGATCGTTGTTAAATTATTTTCCACATCTCCTAATATTATCAAGTAGGTCTTAAACATAAGTTTTCAAGGAATCAGCCTTAAAAGTTTCAAAAGTCTACTAGTCGTTATGACTATTGTACATTGTTGAAGCTGAGTATATAAACAATCAATATACCGTACTTAGGAAGTTTCAAGTTTAATTAGTCTTACACAAGATTTTTCGAAGCTGAGTATATAAACAATCAATATACCGTACTTAGGAAGTTTCAAGTCTAGTTCAATCGCCGTTTAATTCGCTGATTTGAGTTTTTAATTTGAGTTGAAATATAATTTTATGTGAGAGTTTTTTACTGTAATAAAAAAGTTAGATGTGACTGTTTTTTAGAGTTTTTTATTGTAGTAAAACCCGAATTCTAAATTTGAATCGGTGAAATGAACAGGGCTATACACAAAAATTTTATTTGTTAGACCATCTCCAATCCATTACTCCATTTTAGAGTTGTTTTATCTTCAAAAAAGAATAGTTTCACACCACTTAAAAAGTTCATCTCCAACTCATTTACTCTAAACTTTATTCTAAAAGAAACATTCACGGTACAATCCCTTTTATATTCCTCTTTTTTTTTTTCAACTTACTATAATAATTCCTAACAATTAATCTATTTAACCAATTTGTGTGATATTTTGAATATTTAGAATTGTCATTTAATTATTATTTTTTATAGCAATGAACGACAATTCGTTGGTATTAATTTAGATCACCTTCACAAATATTTAAAATTAGGGAGTTTCTCTGATTTTTTCTTCTTTTTGGGAACGCCGGTGTTCTCTGTTTTTTCAGCCGTTAGGTCTGGTCAAAATTACACTAGATTTAAAAAGTATGCAGAACAGATATATTCTGATACAAATATGATGACTGAAAAATAAAAAATACATGTATTTCTAAAAAAAAACACCGGAGAAAGTTCCTTAAAATAAACTAAAATCATTTAAAAAAGTTAAAAAACTGGGATACTAAAAGCTTTTTTTTATTTTTGATAGCAAAAAATAAGAAATTTTGATCATGTTTTTGACTTGATTTGGGAAATGAGAAAATAAAAATGAGCTTCTATTTTAATTAACAAAATAACAAAAGCGAAAAAAAAAAAGTAACCCAATTGCTAGGGAGAGGACAGTGCATCGGCATATGTGCCGCGATACTGTAGCAAAATTGGCAAATTGGCGTGGAGATATGCCGCTGGGTTAGAGTGCTAATCGTGCTCCAAATTGAAGAAAAGGCCTCCAGTTGGAAATGGCCTTATCATCAATAAAGTATAGAAAAGATTAACATAAAATTATTAATTGATTCATGTTATAATCACAAATGTCTAGACCGTCACAATTATTTATCACAGCTATTTAATAATTGTATTTTTCGTCACTTTATTTTGAGTCTATTTTGAAGAACTTCTACTTGTACTTTTTAAGCAGTAGAAAAAATATATATAAGTTAGAATTTTCTAATTAGTGTTTAGAAATTTTTTATTTCATAAGATCTTTTTGAATATGTTTAATAAATAAGTTAAAAGTTTTTATCTAACAATACATAAAAGAGCTAAATACTCTTGAATAATACTCTTTTTTTAGATTGCCGCGTGATAGGTTCTCATTCTCCTTCATTTTTTCATACTTTTTCCTTCTTTTCATTTTTATCTTCATTCTTTTTTCTATTAATTTTTTTTTTGTTTACATAATTTTTTTTTAAAAAAAGAACTAGTATACTTTGCTCCAATTAACGTAATTTCTTTTTGCTTTTGTTTCTATTTAATTTTTTTTGTCTATAGTTAAAATAATTTTCTTCCCTTAAGACCTCTAGGTCTAATGGCACTAGGGGTTTGGATGAGAGGTTGAGAGTTCAATCTCGTGTTGTATAAAAAAAATATATTTTTCTTCGAATGTGTCCGTACTTAATTGTTTTCCGTGTAATTCCTTTTTATATCAAAAGTTATATTCACACTTTTTTTTTCTATAGTGCTAGGCTACCATGTGGTAGCCTCTTCACCCTCTCAATTTATTCTTTTCCACTTTTTCTACTTTATTATTTTTTATTTTTTAAATGTTTTTCTTTTATTTTTATTTTTTTACAATTTAATTGTTTTTTCATGTGTTTCTCTTTTCTGATCTTATTTTATTTTTTTGTATGTTTTTTTTTTCTAAATTTTGTCAAGGGATCGTTAATAATTTATTCTTTTCACATAAAAACAGTCAAATCGACTTAGAAGGCCATTTGTTGACCTCATCTTTCTTCTTATTTCCCTCTCTCTCTTTTTTAAACTTTTCCTATTTCTTTTTTAATTTTTTTAACTTCTTTTATTCTCTTTTACCTGTTGTCTTTTTTATTTTTCTCTTAATATTCTTAGACAAATTTTTTTATTGTATCTTTCTATAAAATACTTTCTTTTAATTAAAATAATCCTTTCGAATATGTTCCTATTTTTTTAATCAAAAGCTCCAACATAACTTTAATTCTTTTATTTTTCATTTTAAACTTTCCTCTCATTACCTTTTTATTTTTTCTTCTTTTCGTTTGCGTATTGAGTTTTTTTCCTAACACTCTTTTACTGTTACATTTTTTTATAATATTCTTTTTTAAAATACTTTCTTTTTTCACTTTAATTTAATTAAAATAATTCATTTCAAAAATCCCTATACTTAAATTTTTTTTCTTAGTCTTACTCCTATATAATTTTAATTCCATTTCAATATGATTTTTTAAATTTTTTTTTCTCTTGTTATTAACGGACTTAACTTTTAACAAGACTACATATTTTAACCTGGGATCAAACTTTTAAAGTTATTCCTCACATGCACTAGTTGTTACAAAAAGTAATGTAATAAAAAGATATGTTGATTTTTTTTTTTTTTTTTTTTTTTGCAAATAAAAGGTTAAAAGGGTAAAAAAAAAAAATCATAAGCTTTTTTTTATAAGCATTAAGGAGGTGACTTGTCTGGAAAGAGTTTATATAAGCCAAAAGCACTTTCATATTGTCAATTTAAACAACTTCAAAACTCAAAACTACTTTTAAATAAGCCAAAAGCAACGTTTTTTTAATCAATCCAAACAAGCCCTTGATGGCCTACTAAATTTGGAACAAACCTATGTTTAAATGAAAGTATTGATTACCTATCCTATGAATTATGTGACGCCCCTAACAAGGGGTTATGTAATAAAAGTGCGGTAACGGTGCACAAATAGAAATAAAATAAAATAAAACTACTGAAATAAAAACAATGTCTGCCCATGGGCCTTTAAAACAAACTCTCCGTTAAAACCCATAATTCATCGTTACGTTAAAACTTAGATCCACAGTATAATGTAGCACCAATAAAATATTTAACAGTACGATCATCATCATCAGTTACAATTCTGTCCAAAGTAATCCAATCAAGGTCTTACACAAATTTAAGGAAGGAAGCTAAAAATGGTAGATCCTCTACGAGGGGCACGCTGATCGGTGACTACTCCTCGTCCGAAAGGTTGCACTGTACACCCCCTGGAAATGAAAGACGACAAAGGGGGGTGAGCACAGAATGCTCAGTAGGAGAACTATTACTCACTTTTAGTTTTATTTACCTTTCCCAAATTAAACCTGCATGGTTAGTAATTTCTACTTTTTATGCACAATAAATTATGAAAACCTGTGTCAGTGAGATAATCTAGTCCGTACACTCGGGACGATAAACCCCTGAAGGGCGCGGTGACTCAGAGAGACTGATGGTAGGGAACTCTAACTCGATGTCCTTACCAGATCAGTTCTCGAACCACGGGTAAGGGTGAACTGTCGTTCCGGACCCTCACCAGGACGTAACCACTGTACAGTAACCTTGGGGATTCTCAACCCCAGAGAGCGTCATCACCTCTCCTTCTTTTACCTTTTCGGGTTCACACCCAGGGATGATGAACGGCTGCACCTACTGTTAGCACACTATCTCACTATCATGTCCGGTTTACATTCTCCTAACCATGCTTTTGTGTCAATTTCCAAAATTATGTTAAAATCTCTTGGCCACGCTGTACATTACAGGACGGGCCCTTAATGGTTCTGTTTCAAGTCATATCGTGTAACAGTAATA